CAATATTTTCAAAAACCGACCTGGTTTTAGCCTCAGCGCTGAAACCAGGTCGGTTTTTGTGAATAAACTTCACGGGACTTCAAGTCCCGTGAAGTTTAGCAGCTATTTTGTTAAGTGAAAAAACTTCACGGGACTTCAAGTCCCGTGAAGTTTAGCAGCTATTTTGTTAAGCTGCTAAACTTCACGGGACTTCAAGTCCCGTGAAGTTTCAGAACTTTTTTCTTAAAAACCGACCTGGTTTCAGCACCAATGCTGAAACCAGGTCGGCTGTTGAAAATAAATGTGAAATGTGTCTGTTTTTTGGATTAAATGTCCAAATAGGACTTTTTTGAAAAATTGTCCTTCTGGATGATGGTGGGAAAAAGATAGAATCTTTGAATCCTCAAGTATAGCAGTTAGAAATGATGGCTCACACGATGGATCAAAAGCAAGAGTACAGTGTCAGTCAAGGTCTGAGAAATTGATGGAATTATCAGTTCCGGACCCTTGCTTTCGGATTGGCATCAGAAGTTTTGTGTCTTATGTGGTTTTAGTTCAGAAAAATAAAATAGTCAGTATAACAGCTTAGGAAGTAAAAGTTAATCTAAAATTACTACTAAACAGTATAGATATGTATAATTGATTGAATGATTGATGAATCAGTATAACAGCTTAAAATAGGTTTAGATATAATAGCTAGTGTACAACCATTATGGGGTGGTATCTAAAATCTTGGTAGTGGATGACTTGAAAAACAAGGATGCATAGTGAAGATAGCATCGAACGGTGGAATTAATCACTTTAGCTGCAAGGAGAATGTGTTGCTCTCAAGATTACAGAAGTTGAAGCTCCTAAAAGAGCACAAAGAACAGTTAACTGCTTTGCAATAGAAAGTGTTCTGAACACCTGGGAGTGGAGTCCTAAAAGTGATTTTGGGTGCTGCTCAGACGGTCTATAAATATCGTAGATGAAAATATGCACAAGATTAAAAGAATACTATAGAGTTGAAGGAAGAACAAAGAAGCTGGAGTTCACAGTCAAAGCAGACTCTAACAAAGCAAAAACAACTAGGCAAGGGCAATATTCATGGTGTGATCCTATGGTTTTGTGAGAACAAAAGGGATGGGGGATCCTAACAAACATGTCAACAAACAGAAAATGAACCAGAAGATTTCTACACCAACAAGGTATTTAATCCAAGTTCTTAGGTCTCGAACTGGAACCGTTTTCTCCATTTCGATCTGTATAAAGTTGATGTTAAGTTGGTAGACTTTCTCAAATTCCATTCACAGTGTATATAGCCCATGGCATCATTTGATAGGAAAAGACTTGGATAATGATGAAGTTCTAAAAGAATAAATCAGAAATCTTCATATATATCTTTACAGCCTCAATCAAAATGGACTATGGACAACACAAACGACTAACCCTTAACAATCTGAACTAGCAAACAGAACAATCTCCTCTTTTCTGTATCAGAACTGCCTTAAACTAATCGTCATCATCTCAATTTCATTGGATAACTCAAATGAAATTGTGCCTTATGTCTTTTTTTAAGTATCAATGTTCATCTACACCCTTTCTTGCTGCGATATTCAACAATAAATTGATTGCTCTGATTCATACGAAATATGTAAAAATTGTAATCCACAGCTGTAATTTCTCTATTACATATTAAGAGATTTTTAAATGGAAGAAATATAGAGGCAAATATGAATGGGGGTAAGCATAGTCCTAAGCTTTGAATTTGTGGTGTCTCACAAGGCAAGTCCATCTTGTTGAACCTTCTGGATGTGTAGGACCTATCTGTACACAACTTGCAGTAAAACAGATTGACAAAATCGATCTGCTGATATTCTTACTTACATCATAGAAAATATTTCGGCTATTGAAAGTTCTGCCTGCACTACAGAAAACATCTAATCAGCTGCTTTGAAAAGACATTAGCAGGTCTTTTAACCTCCATAGAAAAAACGAGTATCATATCTTAAAATAAATAAATAAGAAAGAAAGAAAACATGAGATGACAGTTGAAAAAATTTCTCTGGAACTTCTTCAATATTTTAAATAATGATACTTATTACTGGACGAATGACTGTGATAAATTTACAAATGTCGGGATCATAAAAGATTAAAATATATTTATAACCGACTATTAGCTGTTGCAAAATCCCTCATTTCCCAATCAAATCAACTGTTAACTGTTTAGAAATTTTGCCTTAACTACTAACACATAATCATTTTTACATTTATTATTCCGTGGTGGAACAAGGCTAAAGTCATAACTGAAGATGGGCGAAGCACAGAGTACACAGATGTGCCGAGAAAATTGCATGGGAACATAAATATGACAAGTTTCCATTCTCCCAGGTTTGGTGCTATCCTATTCAGGATCTAGATCTACTTATCTCATCTCATCTCATCTGCATTTTGCTCTTTGGCTTCATCTTAAATCCATGTATAGTCCATGGACATCAAACTTCAGATGCAATTTTTATAATAAGTCGTGTCTTTTCTGGTCAGAAATTTTAATGCTTCATGCTATACCCCTCTTTTAAAGATCTTATTAGTAACAAGTACCCTAGAAAACCTAATGAAGAACCAGTCTCAAAGTCCTATTGTAATTAAGGTTGCTTCCTTCCGTTTGACAATTGAATTAAAAGATGATATGATCTCTCAACAGAACCTCACAGTATCTACATTATATATGTCAGTCAATAGTTCATCATCACTTCAACCAGAAGACTTCTAAACCTCCAAACCAAATTATTTAATACTGTTCTGTTGGTTTTATCGATCACACAGTGACCCTTCTTTAATTTACTGAATCCTCTTTCTTCCCACCATTTTCAATTTATCTTATTGTAAGTTTCATAGTCACAGTTGTCGATATTTCATCTGAGTAGCTCAATATGAAATGGATGAAACCGTGATGAAGTCGCACACTAGCCACATCAGAATCATGTCTAAAGATCAACCACCATATGAAATGTCTGATGTCTACAAGAAAGGTTTACAAAATATAATTTCAGTTCACGCTTAAATGTTAGGCTGAAATGCTCATGCGTATGAGAAAGGTTTGCAAATGCAATAGGACCCCATTGGATGGAATTACGCTGGCAAGATTAAAATACTTCAACACGGAGAGGGAGAGCATCATCAACATCACCAAGATTTCCCAAGGAAAATATATATGGTTTTCCTATATGCAAAGTTCCTAGGTCAAATTATTCTTGGCCACCGCAACTAGATGTTCATGTTACATATTGAAAAACATATATGCATATGGAAAACAAATTACATAATTATAAATACAAGCATGTGAAAAATGATTGTATAAATAATTAGTACTCAAATTTAGAGTAAATCATAATATATTAACTGCCCAAGCTACCGTCTATGTTAATCAGAATCCAGAGCTTATCTTTCAGTGACAACTAGTCAGGTAATAAACCAGGTAAACCAGGTTGAGGCTGTGTTAAATTGTGTGCACAATTGCCTCTTTAATCTCCCTTGCATGTATAAATCTTTAACTGAATGCCAGAGCCAATGTTGCCACAGAAAAGAATCTATATGTGAAGACAATTACTGACTATATATATCTTGACCAATAGATAGCATGTTAACTCATGAAGACAGCAAAAAATGAAAGCCAAATCTAGAGCTCACTGCCAATAGTTACAGTTAATGCATAACTTGGGTATACTTTCTGGAATTTTCAGTTTTACTTATGCAACATAATGTTTGGAATTCAAATAGTATCATTAAAAAAAAAGATAAGTGAACGAAATTTACCACAAAGACTTTTCATGATACAGCAAACTTCCTCAATTTGTCGCAATGCGTTGTTGGATAATCCCTCACCCACTGCCGCCTTTGCATCTCCAAATGACAGTATCGACCAAGTATGCTCTTATAGTCTCTAGTAACATCATTTTCAATTTTATTCCTAGCAGAACTCCCCTGAGGAAACTTCTCATCGAAATCAGCCTGCTTGACATAATACTCAACTCCATGTTTCTCAGTGACCTTGGGAATCTGATAGGTATGAGTCCGCTGCAGGGAATAATGCGACTCTGACATAGGCAATGAAGCAAACACAAAGAAAAGAATTATCGGCAATATCTGAAGCAAGACGATCCAATTAACCCCTACTTGCTGAACATTATGTTCCCTTTGCTGACCAGCTGTTCCTCTTGCCCTATATACTCTCTGATTTCTAAAGACATTATCCTGAGTGCCATAGAAAAAGGACCTAAATATCTCATCCGGGTCAAACTCCTCTTCGAAAAAATCATTTCTAGTAGCCCGTCTTCTCCGTCTCCTCGCATGAGTGTGATGATGCTCAAACTCATAATCATCAGCAAAACCCATTTGATCGTATTGCCGTCTGCTCTCATCCTCACTCAAACACTTAAAAGCCTTGCTAACAATCTTAAAAGCCTCATCGGCCCCCGGGGCTTTGTTCTTGTCAGGGTGAACCTTAAGAGACAGCTTCCTATACGCCTTTCGAATCTCTTCACCTGAGCAACTCTTCTCCACGCCAAGAATCTCATAATAATCTTTACTCCTCTTAATCTCTCGAATCAATTTCACATTCTCCTCGGTATAATTTCTACCCCCATTTGACGATTCTGACGCATTAGAGCACGTCGGGACTTCACGAACCCTATTTACTTGAGATTGGGACTTAGAACTATCAAGATTCTCACAGGCGCTCAAAAGGGCGTCGAGTTGAATCGATGGATCCAATCTCTTCGCTATTCTAATGAATTTCAAAGCTTTTTCCTTGTTTTTTGCAGCGAGAGCTGCTTCTGCGAGCTCGAGGCATCTCAGTGCTTCGTCTTTGTTACCATCCATCGATCTAATTCGAAAAATCAAGATGTAAGATCAGAACTGAGTCTGAAATTGTAAAAAAAAAACCCTAAAAAGAACTGAGTGCATGATCGAGTTAGGGTTTTGTACCGGTCGATGAAAAGGAACGAGAAGAGCGCCGCTGTAAGTGGGAGGAAATCGATCGCGGAGATCGAGCGAAATGACGACGAGAGAAATTTCTGAGACGACGAAAAAAAAAAGGGATTGTAATCGGGGGCCGTCTTGGCAAAGTGAAAGACGACGCGAGAGTGATGAATGAGAAATTCAATATTGTACGGGGTGCGAAACGTGAAAAACAAATTCGTTAGGGTCTTCGTTTGGCAGTTTCGTGAATGGTGTTGGCCAAAAATAAAATGTTACGGGTGGCATCGTATCGGTGATTATAGACATCCGATGCTGGTTTGGCGTTTTCCCCACTTGAAAAAAAAAAAAAAAATAGGCCTGGTTGGAGTTCAATATCTTATAGTTTTTTTAGAACAAATTTTCAAAGCAGCCCTAAACTTTTTTTATTTTTTAAAATCGACCCATTTTTTTTATTTACCAAAATCGACCCGGTTTTTGCCACGTGAGTTTAATGACGTTCCTAAACAGTCGGGGTTGACAACCCCGACTGTTTAGGAGGGTGTTAAACCCCAATTAATGTCCTTAAACCCGAAATTTGCATGTCCTAAGCAGTTTAGGAACGTCATTAAGCCCACGTGGCAAAAACCGGGTCGATTTTGGTAAATAAAAAAAACCGGGTCAGTTTTAAAAAATAAAAATCTTTTTTGGCCTGTTTTGAAAATTTGTTCTTTTTTCTACTTGGCGCTTATATATAATGGTTTATTTTTAGTTGCACTTGTATTGACTAAAGTTTTTAAAATTTGTATTTTAATATCTCAGTTACGTAAACGGGAGAATTTTTTTTCTTGATAATTCTCGTTTGAATAGCACATGCTAATTTTAGTATTTTTTATTCTTATTTTTTGTTAAATTTATTGTGAAAACTATCATAATTTTATTTTAAACTCACCATAAGTCTAGTTTAGAATAGGATTTTGGTAGGTTAAACAAATTTAGACAAAGTTAAGAATTAAAATATTATGTAATAAGCCTATGAATTTCACATGGGAATTTTCAGTTTTTTTTTGTTGGCATAACTCAAAGCATTAAAACTCGTATTTTAAAAACTTTATGATATTTAAGTGAAATAAAAAACCAAATGATGCTGTGGAAGGCGAAACTACAGGGTATGAATGTGCAATTAAGCCAAAAAAAATAATCACGTCAATGGAATTTAGTTAAAAAATAACATACCATCAAATATGGCTATGCCATTCACACATGGCTTAACTTGGTGAAGATAAATCTATTGTAAAAAATTTTGAATTCGTATGTAAAGTCTATAATTATGATTATTTTGAGTTTGAACCGATGAAACTGATATCTACACTCAAAATGTGTTTGTTCAGTTTTATAAAATATTTTCGATTCCTTTGATTTAAAAATAATCTAAATTTTCAATTTTTTCTTCCTAGTGAATCACCAAATTTATTCTCACGTTTTTTTCATTTTAATTATTTTCTTAATTGACTCCTTAATTCACATTTCTTTTCTTTGGTGAGATAGTTTATGTTATGATGTTTTCAGTCAACAAATTATGATCCCTTGTCAACAACAGACAAATATCCCCCATTACGCCCAATTCAGTTAACTTGACCATTTGGGACTGCCAGGGTCCTGATCTAGCCAACTAGCCGAGTCGACATCTCGCTATGCCGTCTCGAATGACGACACTTGTCGGTCCTCTCGTCAAAGACGACTCGCCACAAGTCTACTCAACTAGTTAATTAGCCGGCATCTCATGGGAACAAACTCGAGAGGCGGTACTTCTCGACACCACTAATACAAGTCAAAAAGCGGCTTTACCTCGAACCCCCGCTGACAGCGCTTCGACATCACATTAAAAGCTTAGCAGACACCATCATTTCTCTATCCCCAACACTATTTACGACACATCGGACCACGTCGGCTTCATACGCCGCCTATCCCATCTTATAAATGCCGAAGTGACCGCGCTCATTTTATGACCACTCCACATTCGACACCTGTAAAGTCAACGCTGACTCAACCGCCAGCTCGGACTCGACCAAAAAAGACCAAAATGTCCCTCCCACATGACTATAAAAGAGAAAAGTATTCCCAATGCGATGATAAGCAATTTCTTTGCATTTTCTCCATTCCACCGCACTCAAGAACTGTAACAGTTCGCTATTTTCCCCCACTCCAGTACCTTGCTAACTTGATCGTCGGAGGAACAATGGGGGAATCAGACCTTGCCCTCTTACGAGTTGCTACACATGTGGTGAAGAACACCTCAACTCCAAACCAGATATTCGGAGAAGTTAGCAACCGCTAATCAACCTAATTACCATCAGTTTAACTGTGATTATATAACATCAACAGTTTACTTCTAAACAAGAGGGGCCCAAGCCTAAACTGAATAGATCTAACCTAATGTTTTAGGCCAATTTGGTTTTCTAATCTAAGATGGTTCAGTTTGGTTTGAAAAAAAAAATCTCATAAAACTAGTCAAAAGCGACTGTTTGCTTGCCAATTTCGAGAGCTTGTGAAATTTAGTGATTATGGCTACGAATTCTTTGTAATCACTAATTTAATCGACTATTTTCTAAATCACCAATAACATGTTCTGAATGTGCACGTTAATCTATACTACATATAAGAGGATTACATTGTCAAAACTTTTGATTTTCATGTTTACCCTTTTCAAGTTTGATAATTCTCAAGTATGTTATTAATTATAATTAATCATTCACTAATTATGTATAACCTCTTATTAATTATACATTTCCTCTCTTTTTCAAAACCTTTGGGCACACTATTATTTTATTATTTAATTATGTTATTTAATAAAAAGTTTGAAATTTATCTCTAATTTATCTTCACATAATATTTAAAATTCTAGAAAAATTAAAAATAACAAAAATTCATTAGGCTTATGATTCTAGAAAAATTAAAAATAACAAAAATTCATTAGGCTTATGCCTTACAACTTTGGGTTTCACCTCTTATGGAGGACTACCTGTTACCTTACATAAATTCATTAGGCTTATGCCTTACAACTTTGGGTTTCACCTCTTATGGAGGACTACCTGTTACCTTACATATTATTAGCCTTTCAAAAATATGATTATAGCATGCAAAACAATTTACATTTATTATAATTGTAATAGTTTTAATAGTGTTAATGATTTTAATAGTATATTTGAATTAATAAATTACGTTGGAATTTAATAGTTATACAATTTAGTAAAATATTTACTTATAGTGTAATAAACTTATTATTAAATTAAAATGTAGTTACTAATAGTATTATAATTATGCCAAGTATAATAATTATTATATTTAAAGGAGAAAAAACTATTTTATATATTATAATTATTTTAATAAATTATGAATAAATTACAATAATTATCCAAACTATAATTGATCATATTATCATAAAATTTATTCATTTACATAAAATTGTAATTGTTCAGAATTATATTGCTATACAAGTAATTTCATTTTTTTAGCTAATAAAAAAGTAAAAAAACATAAAATAAAGCAAGGATGCTCTCGTGCAAAGCACGTGCACTATATTAGTAATATGAAAGCTCTAATAAATCCAACGTTTTATGGGTGGACACGTCTCATAAATTCTACATTAAATTATTTATACTGCATAAATTGTTAAACATCAATGAATTTATAAATTAAAAGCTTGGATAATCAACAACGTATTTCTAAATTTCTAAAAACTTTGTTTGTTGATGGTTATATAAAGGCTGAATAGCACTTATAACCCCTAACGTTTCACCTACTTATCACTCATATACTCTTACTTGTACCTTACTTGTACTAGGTGGAATGCACGTGCAATGCACGTGGTCAGATACCATGATTAATTTTTTTTAATTTTTTTTCCTAACTAAAATTTGTTCATCGGTTCCACTTTAATAGTTTGTGCTTACTTTTGTCTTTAAAATTTAACATTGCGATTATTTATTTTCTTTGACGTTTGTTTAAATGAGCTATATCTAACTTAAATTTTCATGTTGATATTTTAATTGATAGAAAAAAAAATCTGAAGCTAATTTAAATTTTCATATTACTTAGACTGACATAAAACCAAGCTTTACTTGAGAAAGTATAGTGTTGTGAAAGTAAAAAATATTGAAACAATGTTATACAAGAAAAGTAAATATTTAAAACTAATAAGGCAAGGTGATTGATTAAAAGTATGCTAAAATGAAACAAAAGATAATATAAAATTTATTCCTAATCATTAATAGACTTCATAAAAATTATAAACTAAATATTAATGCTAACTCTAGTATACTTTTATATGATAAAATCATCTACATAAGCATATAAAAGTACTGAAAAAATTCATGAACTCCCTTCTAAAGATTCCTAGTTTCACTCAAAACAATTAAACTATTCTATAAAATAATCTAAAAATATTATCTTTTATTCCTTCTATTTTATTTTATTTTTGGGCTAAATACCCATATTGTTATTTTAATTCCACCCCATTTACCAAGAAGTTATTTTAATTAGGCAAACATACTTTAAGACATTTTAATTGATTCAACTTACCAACAAGACCATTTTTCTCGTCGGCGACCAGTTTTCCGGCGAGAACTCGTCACGTGCGTGGTACATGATGATTTAAACTGTTTTTTAGCTGCTGATGTGACACGGATTTTCTGACGTGGCAGTGTTTAATGGTAGGAATTAACCCTCTAAAAATCCTAATTCACCCAAAATAGGATAGATCCGTGCCACATCAGCAGCTAAAAAAATAGTTTAAGTCATCATGTGTCACACACGTGACGAGTTCAAATCGAAAAACTGATCGCCGATGAGAAAAATGGCCTTGTTGGTAAGTTGAATCAATTAAAATGCCTTAAAGCAGGTTTGCCTAATTAAAATACCTTCTTGATAAATGGGGTGGAATTAAAATACCAATATGGGTATTTAGTCTTTTTTATTGAGTTAAGATCAATCATTCTTCACATTTATATTTTTTCTGGGCAATTCTATAATAGTGTCTTCATCATCTATATCAATTGTGACATCAGGCTGGAGTTTGTATTTTTTGCACTATTATTTTTCCTAGCCTCGTTATTCTTTGATTTTTTTCGTTTAACTTCACAAAGATGTTGGATGTATTTATAATGTTCAACACAAACTTCTTGAAATATAGACTTTGATTTTTCTTATTTTAATGAGAATAAATTTTAATTTCAAATACATATATAATTATTTGTGTTCCAAATTTATTACT